CAAGGAGGGGTCGCTATGAGTCGGGGCCGACTCGATGGCACATAACAACAACAACAACAACCACAGACGATGGAAGAAAAAGACTGGATTTAAAATAGGGAGTGGTGGAGGTAGCATGGGGGTGGTTAGGAAAGCACTAGAAAGAACATGGTTCTCCTCCACCTCTGCTTTTTCAGTGCTGTTTCTTCTGCCAGAAATAACCTTCCTGTCACCTCTTTTCACTGGATCAGTTTAACTGTTCCTTCGTCCAGGAGCCTATTCTCAACTCTCCTTCTCTGGGCCTTTATAAAAAACCTTCCGATTGCTCTGCCTGTCACTTGCTGCATGGAAATGAGAAGTTTCTAGATCGGACCGAATATGGCTCCTTGAGGGCAGTAACAGTGACTTCCCTTGTTTGACATTTATTGCTCCGTCATATGTGCTACCAGAGAGATAGGTGCCTCAGTCTTTTGTCTAATAGTCTTATAGCCTCAGAGTGTATAAAAGCTAAAAATGTCTTATGAAGTCATTAAGGAAAGTCCTTTATTTTACCCAGGAGGAAATGGAAAGATCAAAAATCAAGATGGTGAGTTTCTTGGAAAATGGTGTAAGTATTCACCTTGGAAAATTGGAGTATTTAGGGAACTTTATATTTTACTAGGTATTTTCAAATCTGTAAGTACTCTTATGGTTAGGAGGACTATGTTATTTACTGTATAAGCAGGGATACCATTGAGAATGCAAATGAGGGGAGCTAACTTAATGGAAGGAGCCCTAGCGACACAGTGGTTAAGTGCCTGGCTGATAACCAGAAGGTCCACGTTTCTAGCCCACCAGCCACTCTGTAGGAGAAAAGACCTGGTAATCTGCTCCCATAAAGATTTCAGCCCTGGAAACCCTATGGGACAGTTGAGTTCTGTCATATAGGGTTGCTTGGAGTTGGTATCAACTCGAGGGCACACAATATCAACAACTGAATGAAACACCAGGATAATGGGTGTCAAATAGGTCCGCCTCCGGCAAACCAGCTTGTGTGGACTTCTTACATATGACAATAAACAGCTTTTGGGCTTCTGCTTCAGGGCCTGGAACTCAAGATACAAGAATAATAGCAAGGAATTCTCACTCTGTGCTTTGGAATCCACAGCACCCAACAAGAAGTCTTAATTCCTGAGAAAGGCTGTCAAAGCAACTTGTTCAACAAATAGGTCAGAATTTATGTCAGTAACAATGAAAAAATATTGATAATTGTTAAAGGTGAGTATTGCATGTATTGTCGTTGTTGTTGTTAATATTCCGTCGAATCGGCCCCAATTCATAGCAACCCCTCCTTGGGTTTCCGAGGCAGTATCACTACAGAAGTAGGAGATTGCCCAAACTTCCTTCCAAGGAGTGGCTGGTGGGGTCCCTTTTTTTTCAATTATTATTTTGCAGT